GTTGTGTTTGTGCTAATAACCTTATCGTGCTTAAGAACTTCCAAAACCATTTCGTAGAAGGTGCTGGGTTTCAGTCCATCAAGGGTAAGTTTTCCATCTGAGAAGGGGACAGATTTATACACGTAGGTGACAGATTCTGAATAGTAGTTCGCTGTTAGCTTCATTTCGTCTGCTTTGAGATAACTCAAGGGGCCAACATCCCAGCCCAACTCAACGGAGCGAGAACCCACACGGATCCAATGGAAGTGCTTGGGAAGTTCCGTTGCAAATCCATTTTCCAACAGTGACAGAGCATCTTTTGAAATCGACGCAACATCTTTCCGATCGCCATATATGTCCATCACCTCTTCCAACCCTTTTCAAAGGAAAATTGGACTATTCACTAATTACATAATAGCAAATAACACCAACGAATCAGTCTTTACTACGCCGACTTCCCACCAAATCACATTTCTAAGTATAATCGACCGAGAGCATGGGATTGGGAGAATTTGTGGTTGAGTTGCAGCCGTGATTAGATGAGGTTGAAAAGGATTGCATAGGCTACAGTTAAAAATACTGTTTAACCATTTGAGATGCTATCTAGGTGAAATATCTCAAACAATTTGATGGAGGAATCAACACTGGGGCACATCCTTCTCTTCTTCTTGCATGCCAAAGTCGTCACGGTGCATTAAACAGCTTCAATAACTTATGGGGTCTGTTGTAGTATTAAAGATAAGAAACTGACCAACTTTGAAAAGGTGATGAATTATGGTACTAATGGAGTCATCAACATTTAGGCACAGAGTCAACTGCCACGACTTTTTTTATGCCGTTTGGACCGAGTGAAGGTCCTAAAGACCTAAAAACCTAAAGGTCCTTTAAATGGCATTGACTGACGCATACAAAATTCTAAACAGCAGCTTACCAACATTTTTAATTCCATTTACGAATTCCAAAGCTGCTAACAACACGAGGCAGAAAGTAATCTTCATTGTCAAGGCAAAATATGCTCCACTTACACTGCTTGGCACACTTAAACTAACTCCACAACTGCCTTCAACCAATAAGACGCCTCATTTATGACCTGTATGCTGCTTCTGCATCAGTGGGAGGCGTGGTCGGCAA